TGTTGTAAAGAAACAAAGGAAAAATATTACAAAATTTGTCAAAAAAGCCTATTACGCGTATTTAGGAATATAACTTGGGGACCAAGACAAATTATGGGCTCTGTAGAAAGTTCGCACCGTTTGTGTCGAACAGTTGAGACAAGGAACTAAAGGTGAGAAAAACTCTTTGCCTTTTGGAATTCTAATGGTCTGGCGTAAGCTTAGAAACCATGGAGATGACTGCCATTTTTAGTCATGTAACGTGCAAGGCTACAACACTCGAAATAAAAAGGAAATTTCTTATCCAAACCTTCAATCTGCTATAATACCTGTTGCTCATGGACTTGATGTACCTGTACCTACTCCACCGGGGACTCTTTATACAGTTTCATCTGATTCTGATGTCAAAAACAATAATGATAGAGATTGTTATCAAACTGAAATTTCTGGAAAGGTTTCACAAAGACATCAGGGAAGGTGGGACATCAGCATGATGGCTGATTACTGCTGGTCATTGAAACGAGATTGTTGTTGTTGTTTGTTATTAAGCATAAAGCTACACAAAGCTCTGCCCACCACGTGTATCGAAACCCGGTTTCTAGCGGTACAAGAGCGTAGACATTCCGCTGTGCTACTAGGGGGCTATTGAAACAAGATGCTCCAGACGCAATACATAAAAGAAAGGCCACAACACGTAGTTTTGAGACTAAAAGACGTAATTTCACACAAAAATCGTGATGAATGAGGATGTATATTCGTTTGACATCAATTCTTCCCTCTTCTTCAGTTTGTTTGTATTTTTGTTAACAAACATAATAATGAAAAATGTACATTGTAGTAAACGAAATAATAATTTGATCTAAGTAAGTTTTTTCTTCTTCCCGACTTGAAACAAATCTTTACGTAATAGAAAAAAATTGAATATTATTTTCGAAATCTACGTGGCTAAGTTATGGGAAATCCGTTATTAAAACCAAAACAGTTTTTATGAAGTTTAAATTCGCAGACTTGTGGATAATTATCCAAATAGAGAAGAGTTCTAAGTCAGATGATAAATCTACCTTTGAAGTACGCAAGTGTGTTGTGACCAAGCAGAGATTTCAGAGGAAATATTAAAAGAAATTGGAAAAACATTCATCACTTCCAGATTTAAAAGAAAGATTAACTTTAAAATTGCATGTTAATGGGATTTTTGAAGGAAAGATAAAACTTGAGACCCCTATATGAGAATATAATGTATACTATTCTCAAATAGAAAACGAAAAAAAGGTGTGCGCGCGTCTGGTGGGGTTGTGGGAAACCAGAAAATTCCTCCTGGATATACACCGATTTCTAATATTAAAAAATTAACATATCTTCATAGAAAAATAAATCACCACTACAATGTTAACAAAAAGCTTTATTTAAATATTTCAAATAATATTATAATTATGTTTTGTACTTTATATAAGAACACTTTTATGTTACCCTAAACCTCAATAAATTCTATACACTAGGAGCTTTTAAACAATGTAAAAACCACTATATATATACCTGTAATCATCAATCTCATGTTTATTATATAGTTATCATTCATCACAGAAAAACTTAAAAAAACCTTCACATATTTAAAACAATGATATGATATAGTTGTTTCCACTTATTTCATTCACCAATATATTATTATCATCCCTTAGTTGTTTGTTACATATTACTGGATTCATTTTTATAGACTTAAAAACTGCTGCTTAATGAAACGTTTTTTGCACTTTTGAGCAAACAAACCTGTATCAGTTCTTTGTAAATCTTACGTTTTTACTCAGATTTGTACTCTAAGAATACTTATTCAGATCTAAATGATCATACACACAATGTAAATTAAGATCTTGTATATCTTATACATTGAATGACAAAATAACAGCATTACTGTGAAACTTCCAAAAGCTCATACACAAATGTACTCCAAAGAATTGCATGTGCAAAAAAAAAAGCATTGCTAATGTCTTAATTACCTTGAAGGATTACATGCATATTATTCAGTTTCGAAACTTATTTAAAGTTATCTGTGCAAATTGTTTTTACAGAAGTTATTACAAAACTCATTACTGGAAGTCTTTAGAGTAAAGCCCATCGTGTTTATTCAAACAATGAGTTTATTACAAATTTTTTTTGATAAAACAAACTGCTTTAAACAATTTTGTTTTCAAAATATTCACATATATTCTTGGCATATTAACTATAAGTAAACTTGTATGAGGTTTGGTTTATAACTTTAAAATAATGTAGTTTATTTTGACTTTTTTTTAGGCCCAATTATTAATTTAAACAGATTTATTAATCATCCAAAAACTTGTCAACAAAAACTAAATACTTGAAAGTATCATTTTACTAGTGATTACATACAATCTGATGTAAAGTGAACACTGTGAAAATTGTGTTGAATGTTGTCTTCAATTATTTCAGTTTAAAAGTTTTGATTTGAAATATTGTAATGCACCTAAAACATTTATACTGTAATATTCAAAAATTATGTTAGCCAAATATATATCTACTGATTAAATAATACATATAATGTTCCCACACAAAGTGTAGTTGCAAAATTTCCTAAACATTATTAAATATTTGTGACAAAATAAATTTAGATTATTATTTTTATCTAAAATAAAAGATAATTGAAATATTTTAACATATGATGCAACAAGCATTACTGACAAGTGATTAAGTATATACAGTAATATATGTTTAAACTATGTGTTGTACAGATAGCTTAAATTAATTGTTTCAATTCTCAATATACAATTAATCACTTTAATTTAAATTTGATTTTTACAGTGAACATACTAAGAAGGTACACTACTTTTTCCAGTGTTTCGTAGACATAATTCAATAAAATGTTTGGTACACGAAGAAATAACAATTTTCAACTTACTATACATACTCCTAAAAGTATATATTTTTACACATAAACTGTACTTTTAAATAATGATAATGGTTCTTCAAACCAAAACCAAAATATTCCAAATTTTCAAGTTTCAATAAACTTTTACTTACAAACATGTACAAAATGTTTAACACTAATAATAATCCTAAAAAAACTGACAGGTTCCGATGTAAAATTTACTACAAATGAAAAAGTTAATGTTACAAATAAAACACATATTCCTGTATAAAATACTGATGTAATCCAGAATACAAGACTGTGGACTCCATTGGCAGCCTACGAATAATTAATAAAAAACTATATTTTTTGTTATTGTTTTAATCAGCAATTTTTTATACGGTTTCAATAATTTCTCATCTTGTGTGGATGAATGTAAAGTGACAGTTTTACAACTGACTATATGCTTGTCAAAGTTCATCAAAAATATTTTCTATTTAATTTTTTATTTTCAGAAGAAAACAAATGAACCACTACATAGCTCCAATCTTTATAAATACACAAGAAGAAGTCCAAGGTTATGCTACTGAACTTTGTTCATGCACTAGCTTTCTTAGATTCACGTATCATCAGCTTCTAGTTATTCTCAGTTCTGCAAGATGTCTCGAGACACTATAAGTTGCATAATTTCATTGGTTCCTAGATAAAAATATGAGAGAATCAAAACAAAAACAATGATAACAAACAGTACTTTAGGGAAATATGCTAGAAGCAGTTCTAACTAAACTTTGTGTTACAAGAAATATTCATTTTATGATAAATGAAATGAAAACTACATCTGCCCCATTTTTAGATTATTTTGTATACATTATAAAATTAAATCTTATGGCAATTGGGAACTAACAAGGTAATTATTCAGAAGAAATTATTTTTGAGCATAAATTTTAAATTACTCAAATTTGATTCAAAATATACTGACGTTTTGAAATATGAAATTATCTTGTCTAATGACATTATTATCTTCTATTTGTTATTTCTTTGTGAAGTAATAATTTGTATATATTCTCTTACTAAGATGTCAGTGTCTGATACTAAGTGGAGATTTGTGACTTTGGAATAACAGAAAAAATGTATGAAAATTCCCAATGTACGCAAATGTGTTATTATAAAAAAAATATTAAAATATTTCATACATAATTCCTTCAGTTTCAAACATGCAAGCCTAAAAGATGTAGGAAAAGATAAGTCATCTAAGCAAATAACGTAAAGTTTTCCATCTGTGTGTCTAGTGTCTTGATATCACAAGTTGTTGTGAGGAACTTACTGAACCAATTCTGATGAAAAAAAAAAGATAGTTTAAATAAACAGTTATGTGAATGGTTTGTATAATACAGCTATTGCAATTTTCCCTTGTATGAACAGTTTGTGTGATAATGTTATTCCAATTTCCACCCTTACTACTCACTTAATGCCTACTTTCTGAACTCTAAATCTTCCATGTTAACTAGACTTGCATGGGGTATAACACAGCCCCATGGTGTCACATCAACGAAGCAGATGCAAAGCTCAAGTTCTTTTGCTAATTATAAATACAAAGCAGAGTTGTCACTCTGTCTGTCTGAGGTACTGATGTCACAAGGTCTATCTTCGCCCAATAGAAGTATAAAAGGAGGCAAACAAAATGAACAAATGTGTTACAGGGATGGGCAGAAAAAGACATGAGCAACCAAGCATTTGCACAGAACAGGTCGGTTGGATATGAAGTGCAGTATGATTTGGGCAATAATTTGACCATACTTGGTATGTGTTCTGTAGTACAATTTACTAACCTTACATACAGGAATGGGGACTAAGTCCCTTTCTGTAACATGAGGAGAACACTTTGTCCCATCCTGCTGGCCAAACCTGGCAAATTATATAATAGGGGGTGATATGGACATCCCTGCCATATTTCCTACTGGATTATGCTGCCTACTTGGACTTTCTCCAGAGGTATTACACAACCAGTGAGGAACTCTCCGAGTCAATGACCCTAGCAGCTAGGAAATGGGAGCAGCAAGGGTCTCCTGTGCTCCACTTGAAGACCAATGGGAGGAATTCGCATTGAGGAGACATCAGAGATGTGCTCAGACCCAGATGGATGTAGCTGCCACAGAGGTCTTTTACTAGAGAAAGTGCAATGGGTTACTGCAAAACCTAATTTGAAAAGCCAGCATGCAAAAGACAGGGAAGTGGGCAGACACTCTTTTGGTGGCAGTTTTTTCCATGGTAGTCCATAGAAGGTACAGTCTTCAATGAAAAATGAAAAAAAAAATCACACACACACACACACACAAATATATATATACACACATATAGATCACTGTAGTGGCCTCTGAAAACCCCCATCTCAGCAGTGGGCAATTTAGAGGCTAGGGTAGATGAGTTTAACACTTTCTGTTACACCTAACTTGATGCAATATTAAAGTACTAGGTATACTCTATGAGACAACACCGACCACCTGTTGGGTTCCAAGATGTAAATGGGAAAACAGTGTAAGCAGGTAAGAAAATAAAAGAGGCACTTACCCATTAAAGAGAGTGAGTAAACTGGAAAATGACAACTGGGGGGAAGCAATAGCCTTAGGGAGAAGATGAAACCATCAGATAGTGGATATAATGGGAGACAAAGGTGTTGGGCATAGTTCAATTTCCAGCTTAGAGGATTTCATTCATAGGTTGTTAAAAGTGTGAGGCCAGAGATTCAGTCAAGTGGCAGATTTGAGGTGATGAGATGTGATACAGCCTTCAAGCATCTCCATCCAGGGAGGAATGGATATTTTGGATGAGCTGATGAATCCATCCAGTAAGTGCAGAGGAAAAGAGATCCCTGAATGAAGAGGGATCCCATGGTGAGAATAAATGATAGCAGGAATCCCGACATGGAGCTGTGCATGCTAAGTAACATCTGACCTCCTGAACTGGACATAAAATGTAATTAGGGTTAGCACAGAGGGCTGAGATCAACAGAAGAATAATGGGGGAAAAGGTATGATCTTTTAGAAAGAAATGAATGGTCAGTGAATAGGATCAAAGAAGATCTGGGAAACAAAGCACAGAAGGCATCCAATGCATAAAGATCAGATCTGCAATGACCACAAGCAAAAAAAGAAGGAAATAGGTCTTATGAAAGAAATGGTTTCAATGGGGCATGTAAGAGCATGTAGAACCACATTAAGGTTCTAGTTGGGAAAAGGAACCACATAATGAGGATAATGAATTTAGAAGGACTGGAACAAAATGAAAAGACAGAAACATAGAAAAAAAAAAGAGGTGAAAGGTGAGCAACAGTACAAAAGCCTGGTAGTAGAGAGCAGTGGATTGACCAGTGGCAAAAAACACACTACTTTTGTTCATAGGCAAAGAGAGTAGAAGGGCAACAGTCATAGAAACCTGACCGGCGAGAAAGGGACTGAACAAATCCCAATGAATGAAGATAAGGGGATGACATTCCCAGAAGAAAGATGTTTGAGGTTGGAGCATGAGTGACCAACATGGAAGCAGAAGAAGATGTACCCTGGATGCCAGTTGATGAAGAAGAGGAAACCAAGACTGAGCCAGCCAAAAAGGTGCTACCAACTGGATTTGACAAGGAGTGTTATAAATCAATGACAAGACACATGGGAGAAGACCTAGAGGAGGATCCACATACAGAAAGAGATAAGACCAGTCCTGAATGAGAGCATCCACATACAGAACTGCTGGGGGAGATACAGGTGTGCCCCAATCTGAAAGAGATGCATTGATGAAGAGATGAAAATCCAGACATGGGGGTAGAAAAGGGATGCTGGTCATAATGTGGCATAATCCAGCCACAAAGATAGATCCTCAAGAAGGAAAGGCAGTAGCATCACAATAGAGGACAGAGAGAGATTGTTAGAGATTTTCCATTGGTCTCTAGAAGTCCAATGGTAAAGAGATAAACATCATGTCCCAGAAAGTCCCAACAATGGAGGAACCAACTAAGCAGAGACAAGGCAAAAGACAAAATTCTGACTAAGGTATTGACAAGGAATGACTGTAGATTTCCAAAAAACTATTAGAATCACAGTGTGGAGCTTCAGAGAGGAGATGAAAAGAGAATAGGTAATGAAGAAGAAGAGTAAGACAAAGACAGGAAACTGAGCACTAGACGGTATGACTGGAGATAGGGGTCAATCCTCCAAGCAGGTAGAAGGACTCCAAGAATGGAAAAAGGGGAAACAGATATAACCATGGTGAAGGAATCCTGGAGTTAAAGAGGATGAGGGAGTTGAGAGTGGGAATGAAGCTGATCCAAAAATGAATCAACACAGACATGTATGTCTGGAGAAGGAGGGAACACCAAATAATCCTCAGGATGAGAGTCACATTGTAACAAATGGGAAGAATCAGAAGACATGGGAGAGAGAGAGAGAGAAAGTATTGAACAAAACTGAGTAATCAAATCCACACAGAGATTTGTAAGAGGAACATGTCCTTAACAGGTAAAGAGAAGTCATTTGCAATTCCAGGAGGTCGATCAAAGTCACCATCCTCATGGTCAGGTTCAGAGACAGGAGAATGCACTTCAGACAGGAAAATAAAGCAAGTAAGGTATCATAGAACCCACATATGAAAAACTAAGATGGTAATGTCTTCCACAAACAATGAGCCTCCAGTTGCCATAGGCAAAGTACAGGCAGTGTTTGCAACATTGCCAGAACCTTGAGAGGAAGTAGTAGTCACTGTCACTTGAGAATTCATGGTTGTTGTAGCAATTTTCCAGGTCAAAATTATTTTTTTGTTATTTAGTAGTGATTTAGCTATAAATCGAGGATAAAACAAAACAAAAGGAAACCAAAGAAAGTTAACAAAATTTATTAAGTTTAAACTTAAAGAAACACATCCATTAAAGAAGTGCTGAGGATAAGAATGGATATAATTTTGAGTGCAAGTGGCAATCTATTGCACATGGAAGATGTGTTACCCTCCTATTGATGAAGGTCTATTGTTACACAATGATTACATCTTTGACTACACAATTCACATTATAACATGTCTCAGGTGGGAGATAGCTTGAGGCTAGTGGTATGCGTAAAATCTCCAAGGGAGACCAGATGCTACTATATGCAGAGAGGTAAGTATACTCATGTATAAAACAACTCAAACACACATGCTTCCAATCCTTATAAAACCAATGAAATAAATATCACAATACTTGATACATTTCAGTCTGTACCTGATGATGTCTTTACTGGCAAAACCATAGTTGTGAATAAATGATGTATTTATGAAATGTACAATTTTCTTCTTTTCCTTCAAATCTGTTTATATCTATTGCAATTTTTATTAATAAAACTAACTATTTCTTAATAAACGGTCTTCACATCTATCACATAAGAGAGTGTAAAAAAACAAGTTCATTTGAATCAGGTTATAATTATCTTTTATTTTATATCAACAATTTAACAATACTAAAATATGGTTTCTAAAGCATATTTCCAATTATTCCACAAAGTAAACACAATCTTCAGTAATTTCTTGATAAATTGATTTTCCTAGATACCTTGACATTTTTAATACCTTTTTAAAAACCAAATTTTGATTATTTTTTGTTGAATTAATTAAAACTTTTAGACTAAATGGAAAAATCTTACACCATTACTAATGTACAGATATTTAAAAAAAGTAATTTATATAATTTAGACCCTCATTGTTTATTGTTATAAAACACCCCTATGATGTTTGAAAAATGATCTTAAAAAGTCTTAGAAGTTCTTAAACTAAATTCCAGTATTATTCCTTGAAGAAATATATCAATATTGTTCATTTGAAAGCTTTCTGCCGAGTACTCAGTAAACTGAATACACAAGTTATTGGTAAATAAAAGTTTTCAGAATTTTATTTAGTTTTTAGGTTGAATAATTTTTTATATTAACAATTTTTAAAACACTTTTTTTCATACTTGTTATTTTTCACTCTCAATATTTTCTGAACTCGATTCATAACAAAACTATCTAATTATTGCTTGCTGAATTTCGTGCAAAGCTATTTGAGAGCTATCTGCACTAGTCATCACTAATTTTCAAGTGATAGACTACAGGGAAGGCAACTCTAGTTAACATCATGTGGGCTCCTCTAATTGAATATTTGGTTTTGACTTTCACTCTTAAAATGCACCCACAGCCTGAGAGTAAGGATCACAATTTTTTTGCCAGTAAAGGGGAGCTAACCATGGATCCATGGTCTGGCACACTTACAATGGACCACACTTAATCATGTCTTTAATGGATATAATGTTTAATTAAATAACAAAAATCTATATAAATATAATAGTACTGTCTGTTGCATGTCCATATAGCTACTTTGCAGGGTGTGGATGGATCTTCAACAAATTTGTTATGGAGGTTCATTGGGTCCATGGGGAAATACATGTAAAGTTGCAGTTTTACATTTTGTGTTTTGTGGTTTTTATGACAATTTTTGCATTTATTATAATTACATACAAGGGAAGCAACTTTTCACTCCTATGATAACCTTTCATTAATCATGAATTTACATAACCTTCGTCCAGGGAACGGGTACTCCAGCTTGTTAAAAATATAAATCAAATTTGAGAGAATGTTTTATATATGAATTTAGTATGAAATTAGGAACTTAAAAATTGACATATTCAGTGCAAAGTTAGTTTGAAGAACTTTAAAAATCATAATTAGCTTGCATACTAAACTTAAAAGGTTACACAGCAATGTTACTGAACCTCAGCAAAATGTCTGGAATATGTGGTTTGTTTAGATGGGGGGTATCAGGAGTGAAATTTGGTTTTTATTAAGCAAAAAAAATAAATTTATTTGAATACTAAATAAATCATAATAAAATGAATAGTTGCAATAGCACCACCATAAGTGATATGTGTACCTTCAAGAGTGTAACATTATCAACTGCTTTTCAAAATACATGAGAAAACTACATAAAAACTAAAATATATGCAAACTTAGAAATAAAGGAAATAAAAAAGATAGTAACTCCACTTTGCATTAAAAATCAAATAAAAACTGCATCATAACATGTATTAAACAATTCCACTTTAGTCTAAGGTTTATAAGATAAATGAAGAGGAAATACCAATAATAAAGCATTAAATCTTTCATTAAAAACCTTTAGCTATTCAAAAAATATGATTTTTTTTTTTTATAAGAAAATAAACATATTTGAAAATCTAATTTAAGCACACATTACACACATTGTGCCAAGGATGATATTTGCAAAATATTTTTAAAACCTTTTTTTGGAAATTCGAATACATTTGATCAACAAAATATTATCTGCATTTGGATGCTTTCCACATGCAGATGGTCTGATTAGCAATACACAACTAATGCATCTCATTGTTTTCAATAACACCAAAAGACATACATACAATCTATCTAGCTATATAATGAGTACTAGCTGTTAGCTGGGGGGTTAACATGCAATGAACTGGCAGGAAGAATGTATCATCATTCTCATCAACTTGTGTCAATTAAGCTATAGTTCAGCACCAGATTCTATGTGCTATTTTGGCATCGGAGGGATTTGATTTTGACCTCATCTTACATAATTGTGTATAACAATCATTAAGTTGACAGAGTACTTAATTTGTTATTCATCTCATTTTTGAGGCTACATACTTTTTAGTATTATGAATGTGCAAAAAGAAAATTTACTAACCTAATTTTAAAGTAAATGTACCAAACTTTCAAAAACTTTTGAACCTGGTGCATGAATGACTCAATAAAAATTAAAGACTAGCCTACAGTCTTTATTAGAGTAAGCATGACTGGATGAGAAGAATAATCCAAACCCAGACAAACATATAAGAAGTATTTCACTGTCTCATTTTAAACCTCACTGAATATGAAGAGTAACCTTAGTAATCTTTGTTTTTAAGTACTGATTTATACCATAGATTATTTTAATACTATTGTATATTCTATAAAACATAACAGTCCAAAAACTAATAAATGAACCTGTGATTATATCAACAATGAACTGATTTTATGGGGTCTAACAATATTTAAATAAGTATATATTTACTTACCTAATATATATATACACACACACACACACACACACATACACACCCCAGTTCTACTCTCATTTCTTATATATATAACTATGCAAAAAGTGTTAAAAAACTATTCCTATTGTTTTTCTTTTTTTTAAACCATTTCCACACCTATTGGAAAATGGAAAGAACTACAGTAAAACATTTTTAATGTTTTCCAAACCTATGGCACTTCACCTCATTGGAGTTATAAATCTTATAACAGCAGTTTTATTTTGGATGATGATGGTTGGGAGTGTCAAGATTAGTCTGAATATGTAATTTTAGCTATTAATCATTTTTCATACATGTGTTTTAATGTTATAATCTAATCTTTCACTCACATATTTAGTACATTTTTTTTGGTACAAGTACAAAATACAGATGAGTGACACATCCTAAAGACACATTTTACAGAAGTCTTATATCAATTTACTTAAATTTAAACATGAGTTGTTTTCTATTACTACAGCACTCTGCACACATCACTTATAAATGTGCCTCTTTTGTTCCTTGTACCATTACTTGATGGCTAAAATTACTCCTAAATAAATTTACTTATTTCATAAAGGAACCGAAACTATAGTCTAAATATAAGCATAGCTTTTACCTTCTAGAATTTGATGAACACGAATATCTCTCAAGTATTGTTGGACAGCATAGTCCTTCAAGTAACCATACCCACCATGCATCTGTAGTGCTTGGTTAACAATCTAAAACAAGAATTCTTATTTCATTAATGAGTACAGATATATTTATGAGCACAACATATGTAAATATCCAATATAACTATGTAGTGAAAACACTTTGCACCTTAAAAAAGAATATAACTATAAAGATGTAAGAAATACAACTTAAGTTTATATAAAAACTTGTTACTGATTAATATAACCATGAAACCATTGCCCTGAAAGAATTCCCGACTAAACCTGAAATAAACTTTTAGCAAATTCACTATGGAATATCCATTTAATTAATCCTCTGTTTTTCAGTTATGTATATGACTAAAGGATTACAATTATGGTGATAAGTAAATGCAATAAATAAAACAGACCAAATGAACAAGAAAGCATTTTATAACATGAAAAACAACTTTAACAGTATTGATTTCTCTACTCATACAAAACTGAGTCACATGATAACCTTTTCTTTTGTTTCAATCAAGCATCCTGGTAGCAATAATCATTCAACTGTTATAATCTTCTGTAAACGGGACTTTTTAGAAAAATATGTAAGTATAACACAAAGTCAATTTCTAAAATTTCGAAGAGCTCACATATGAAAACAGAAAAATAAAATATCTTACTTTTAGGTTGGAAACTCTTCACAAATTTACAAAACACAGCTAGCCTAACAGTAAAGATTAATCACATTTTATTTAAGTGGTTCCAAGATCATGAGCTGCCCTTGAAACTATATCCTCCAATGTTCTATTTGTTTGTTGTTAAGCATAAAGCTACACAATAGGCTATTTGTGCTGTGCCAAACACAGGTATCAAAAATCAATTTTTAGTGTTATAACCCTTCAGACTTACCACTGAGCAACTGAGAGGGGAAGGGGAGAGCATCCCGTGATGTCAGTTATGCTGACTGATGGCCTTGACGATGCATTATTGCCCAACACCACAATTTCCACTGTAACAAGCTTATGCAAAAAATGATGAGGCCAATCACAGATTGCACAACCACACATTTTCAGAATCTTGCTACAGAACTTCCACTGCACATAGACACTGACTTTCAAAACCATGTTAACGAAGGAAGCACAAAGTCCATTGGAGCTACATGAGGAAATCTGGCAGTTAGCTGCTTGAATGGGATTGCTGTGATTCTGTGGCAATCTTTTGTTTCTCATGAAAACAACACTTGATTTCAAAGTTTGCTTGGAAGTTATGACTTTTGGCTTGTTAGCCTTTGTCAATTCCAAGTCCTTTTTTATTACTCCACCATAACACTATCACGATATATGCTCAACTTAGTCATAATAGCTTTCTTTTTCTCAGCCATAACCTTCACACTAAGGATTCTGCTACAGATTGGCTTTGGACATGTTTCAAAGTCTGTTGCTGTCCAAGATTTTTTTACTTCCAGAACAATAAATTTTCCATACCTTAAATTACTTTCACTTACATTAACAAAAATGGTGGGCCCATTAAACTATTCTTTAAAAGACAATATAAAACACACTTTTCAAGACTCAAGGGTAATAATTACTTCTGATTTGCATACATCAAATAGATTTAAAATATATGTACATCTTTATGTGTAATAAAGTAGGTTAAAAAATTCCACACTTGGTAGATTGGTCAGACGAAATCCGTTTGCAACAAGCACCCGTCTTAAAAGGCAGTGGTTACCAAACGATTTCTTACTGTTCTGGTTGACAGATTACGACCAAAAATCTGCGGGACTGAAGTCAAGGAGAGTCATAAAATGCCCGACACTTGACGATCGCCATCGCAGGGAGAGGTTGGCCTGGTGCAGAGCAAGGCAGAACTGGAACCTTCAAACCTGGCGACGAATACACTGGTCAGACGTAACGGATGGTCGAACCCGTGTTTGGAGGCATCGTAACGCAGCTTACAATCCAATAAACATTGTTCCAACAGTGCCTTTTGGTGGGGGCTCAGTTATGGTATGGGGCTGTGTCTCGCATGATTGCAAGCTGGATTTGGTAACAATCAATGGCAACCTTACTGGCGAAAAGTACACCAGGGACGTGCTTACACCTGTAGTTGTGCCTCATTTTGACAACCACACGTTAGCGTCAAGACCTTTATTCATGGATGACAACGCTAGACCTCATCGCTCTAGGGCAGTAAAGGCTTATTTAGAGAATGAATCCGTCAACACTCTTCCTTGGCCAGCAAGAAGTCCAGATCTCAACCCTATAGAGCATCTGGGACCAATTGGGTAGGCGAATACAGGCTTTGGAGCCTCCTCCACAGACATTGCAACAGTTAGAAGCTCACTTGCACCGAGAATGGCGACAGATAACGCTTCAACAAATCAGGGTTGCAGCAGTCATCCAGGCAAACGGTGG